AATGTGATATAAATGAAATTATACATTATATAACCTTTGGGATTTATTTTTCACATAGCATAACTCTCTGGAGGTTCATCCAGGTTGTTGCATATATTGATCATTTATTTTTACTGCTGGGTTACAGTCCATGGTGTGGCTGCACCACAGTTTGTCTCTCTTGAAGCACACTTGGATGTTACCCAGCTTTTGCCTAATACAGATAAAGCTGCTATAAACATTCATAAACAGGTTTTTGTGTGAACATAAGTTTTCATCTCTCTGGGGTAAATCACCACAAGTGCACTTACTGGGTCTTACTATAATTGCATGTTTAATTTTTAAAGAAACTGCCAAGACATTCCAGAGTGATTATGCCATTTTTTCCATTCCCACCAGTGATGTATTAGTGATTCAATTTCTCCACATTCTTACTACTATTTGAAGTTGTTGCCATTTTCTATTTTAGACATTTTGGTAGGTGTGTAATAATATTTTACTGTGGTTTTAGTCTGCATTCCCCTAATGACTGATATTTAGTGTCTTCATTTGCTTATTTTCCATCTGTATAGTCTTCTTTGGTAAAATGTCTTTTCATGTCTTTTGTACATTTTCCAATTGAATTGTTTTTCTTCATACTGTTGCATTTTAAGAATTCTTTTTATATTCTGGATATGAGTTCTTTGACAGATACATGGTTATATATATTTTCTCCTAATCTTTGGCTTATCCTTTTTAAAATTTAAGAATGTCTGTTTAGCATCTACTGCATGCCAGGCATTAGGCTAATTATTAACTTCTTCAAACCATAGAGAAACTATTTGACCTCCCTGCTGTACTGAGCTAGGTGAACTTCTTTTTAATTGGCTGATAATTACTTTACAATGCTGTGTTAATTCTGCTGTAGAACAAAGCAAATCAGCTATCAATGTACATGTGTCCCCTCCCTCTTGAGCCTCTCTCCCACCCAGTTCACCATCCCAACCCTCTAGGTCATCACAGAGCTCTGAGCTAAGTTTCCTGTGCTATATAGGTGCTTCCCGCTAACTATTTCACACATGGTATATGTCAGTGATACTGTCTCAATTTGTCCCATCCAATTTGTCCATAGTTTCACTCTATGTGTGTGACTCTATTCCTGCCCAGCAAAGGTTCATCAATACCACTTTTATACATTTCGTATATATGCTTTAATTTATGGTATTTGTTTTTCTCTTACTGACCTACTTCACTCTGTTTGACAGGTTCTAGGTTCATCTGCCTTCCTACAACTAGCTCAAATTCATTCATTGTATATGTATACCAAAACTTCTTTATCCATTAATCTGTCAACAGACATATAGGTTGCTTCCATGTCATGGCTATTGTAAATATTGCTTCTGTGAACATTGGGACATTCTTATTGCTGTTCACTCACTAAGCTGTGTCCAGCTCTTAGCAGCTCCATGGACTACAACACGCCAGGCTCCTTTGTCCTCCATTATCTCCTGGAGTTTACTTAACTTCATGTCCATTGAGTCAGTGATGCTATCTAACGATCTTATCCTCTGCTGCCCCCACTCTCCTTTTGCCTTAGTCTTTCCCAATGTCAGGGACTTTTCCAGTGAGTCAGCTTTTCGCAACAGGTGACCAAAGTATTGGAGCTTCAGCTTCGGCAACAGTCCTTCCAATGAATATTCAGGGCTGATTTCCTTTAGGATTGACTGGTTTGATCTCCTTGCAGTCCAAGGGACTCTCAAGAGTCTTCTCCTGCACCACAGTTCAAAAGCATCAGTTCCTTGGTGCTGAGCCTTCTTTATGGTCCAACTATCACATCTGTACATGACTACTGGAAAAACCAATGCTTTGACTATATGGACCTTTGTTGGCAAAATAATGTCTCTGATTTTTAATAAGCTGTCTAGGTTTGTTGTAGATTTCCTTCCAGGGAGCAAGCTTCTTTAAGTTTCATGGCTGCAGTCACCATCTGCAATGATTTTAGAGCCCAAGACAATAAAATCGATTACTGCTTCCACTTTTGTGTCTTTTTGCATTAAAAGTTTTCTCATGGTATTTATGAACTTTAATGTGCAGACCTGGGCTTTTACTCAATTCCTCCTGCTTGTTTAAGTGACAGTCTTTGCTTCAGGACTGACAGAACAAAAAGTGAGGATGAGAAGTTGGAAGAGAGGGGATTTGTTGCTGGGCATTAGTTTCTTATAGATAGCATATAGTTAGGCCATGTTTTTAAATTCATCTACCAATCTTTGTCTTTAATTGGTATATTTATTTATACCATTTACACTTAGTTATTTGTATGTTAGGACTTCAGTTTGCCGTTCTGTTTTTTGGGTTCTGTTTGCTTCTGTTTTGCTCTGTTTTGTTTTGTCTGTTATTTCCTTCCTGCCTTCCTGGAGATTACTTGAACACTTTTTAGAATTTCTTTTAGAGTTATCTATAGTATCTTTGACTGTATCTTTTTGTGTATTTAAATAACAGAAGTTTGACTTTGATGTGTCTTGGTGTGGATTTATGTATCTTTATTCTTCTTTGGGTTTCCCTGGCTTCTTAAATCTCTGTTTTTGTGTCTTTTGACAAACTTGGCAAATTTTCTTTTTTAAAAGAAATTTTATTTATTTTTCAACTGAAGAATAATTGCTTTACAGAATTGTGTTGGTTTCTGCCAAACATCAACATGAATCAGCCATAGGTATACATATGTCCCCTCCCCATCCCAACCCTCTTGGTTGTTGCAGAGCCACAGGCAAACTTGGCAAATTTACATTCATTATTCCTTGAAGTAATCCTTGTCATTTTTATTCTCCTGTTAAGACTGCAGACACAAATGGTACATCTTTTTTTTTTTTATATAGTCCCAATGATCCCTGAGGTTCTGTTCATTTTTCTCAGTCTATTTTTTTCTCTTGTTTAGATTGGATAATTTCTATTTTCTGTCTTCCAGTTCACTGATTTCTCTATTCACTTCATTCTGCTACTGAGCCAATGTAATGAGCTTTTTCCTTAGTCATTATGTATTTCAACTCTCAAATTTCAATTTGGTTCTCCTTTATGTCTTCTATTTCTTTAATGTGTGTGTGTGACTTTCTGTTTCTTTGCTTTTTACCACCCAGTGAAGATGAAAGTCCCAGCTCTCCACTCAGCTTCTTCTGAAAACTTTCCATGGGGACCCTAGAGGTGCCTCATTGAATCTTGCCAAGGATGGAACTCTGGGTTCTCCACTTGACCTTTTTTTCTTATGGTATTTGGCTAAATTACAATGTTTATTATTTTAAAAGTTTTCTGTCTTGATAGACTGCTCCTTTCCTAGTTCTTTAGCTAGACTGCATGCTTTTTTCTGTACCTGTTGGCATTTCAGGTTGCTGGTTTGTTCGGCTCCAAATCTAGGATGTATGAGGCAAAAGGAAATCCAGGAAACATGGCACCATGTCTTTCCTAGTCAGTTTTTCTTCTCTTTTCTGCCTTTCAGTGTCTTTTGGTTGATTCATATATAATGTGCAAAGTTTTTAGGTGTATTTATTTAGCTGGAGTAACAGTGAAATGTACATCTACTCTATTTTCCTAGAAGCCAGGACCTGAATTTTAATAGACTTCTGTCAAATATTTTCTAATACCCTGTTGTATGTGAGTAAAATTTTGGAGAATGTATTTAGTTTTCTGTTACAACAGAATGAAATTTGTTAGTGATTTCCTCATAACATCTATACTTGAATAATAATCAATTGATACATTTTTTTCTTGTCAGACTTCACTATTACAACTCTAAATTTGTTCCCATTTTCCATTTCTTATTTTTATAAGGCACCCCTGTTTGTTTATAGCTGTGCTAACATATAGAAACAAAATTGAATACATTTTTATAGGAAAAAAAGAAAGTTTTAACATTTAATGCTGAGTAATGTGAGTTCGTTACTATCTGAATTTTGATCATTATTCTTTTGTTAATAAATACCAAGATTGGGTTTGCTCTTTGTGACCTTTCTTTTTCTGGGATATGCCACTTGTTTTTAGTATGACATCTTCCTTTTTATACTAGATGCTTAGAGGAATGTCAATGAACAAATTCTTTTACATCCAAGAATAGTTCCATGTTATGTAAAGCCTATATAATTTGAGGAGACCTTCTTTAAGATAAATTATAAGGCTTTGAAAGAGGTGTTGCAAATAAAAAGAGCCCATGAAGCTTAAGCTTCACTAGCTTCATGGTATATAAAGCTTTCACTTGCAAAATGGAAAGATGAGAAAGAACTAATTGTATATTGTATATTCATATATATATGAAGAATCAGTGAAGGGCAAAGGCCCCACACTTGCTCAGGGCAGTTTGTTTTTCTCAATCCAGTTTTTTTAATTTATTTATTTTAATTGGAGGCTAATTGCTTTACAATATTGTGTTGGTTTTTGCCATACATTGACATGAATCAGCCATGGGTGTACAATTTTTAAGGAGCATTATCTCTTCCATTCTGCTCTTTTCCAGTTCGTCCTTTTCTTTGCAGAATTGTTAGCAGTGATTTGTCTCATCTTTGTGACTGTGATGAGACCAGTAGAATAGTCAGAGAAAAGAAAAGCAACCAACTTCTCTATTTTAAGATATAGGTGGTTGGAGAAGTTAAGAAACATTATCCAAATGGTCCCTAATCTAGTTAATTTTTTCCCCTGTAATTAGACAAAAAATAAATTGAGGAAATTTATTTAAATTTAATAAATACAAGAATAGAATTCTTTTTGTATATCATTACCTAGTATTACAAAATTTTTAGAACTCAGTGGCAGTCATCACTTGTTTCCCCTTCTGGTTTGTTCTTATCACACCCAGTCCCAAAATCTTGCCTTCAATATTATCAGCCAAACCAAACCAGTAATGCTTATTAATCTTTATCAATATTATTTAAATCATGCTATGTGTAATACATATTGAATATTAACTGTGGGCATATGAAACAAACCATACTAATTAATTCTAAATTGATTTTATTCATTTCGAATGAGAGATAAGTCTGTGGCAATTTTTAAACTTTCAGGTCACTTTTGTATTGCAATCTATTTTTTGCTGATGAGTTATTTCAAGGCTGTTTGCTTTATATAAAGGGACTTTGTGAAGATGCAGTTAGTCTCAAAAAAGGTGATGAAGATAATTCAAATGCCATATGCCTTGTAAAGGTAGGTAGAAGTATCTTACCACTAGCTAATGTTGGTCTATAGAAAGTAGGAAAAACAAATATAATTTTAAATCGAAGAAATTCAAACTTCTCGATCCATAGTAAACCAGCCCTATGGATGACTAATGTTCTAAAATACCTACAAAGAACATTATTCCACTCAATTTTAGCAGTTAACAATAATCTTTAAATTAATAATTAAGGAAAAGAATTTCTTCCTTACAAAAAACCTAAGCCTGTTATGAGGCCCTTTCTTTATAATAAAAACTCTAACTATGCAATATTATTTATAAATAATCAATTATCTCTAATACATAATTGATAGTTATCAGCTGTTCTCTTATTATAGCTTATCAAGGCATTGTAATAAATTGCTACTTAGAGTGTTTGGTTAAATTTATGTATTCTCTTGTTCCACAGTTCCATAAAGGGTGACTTCTTAATGAATGATTTGATTTATATAGTAGAGTTCTTTCAAAGAAATAAAGTACAGAGACCTGTAAATTTTACATATTTAATTGAGCAGGATTCCAGCATCTTTTACTTCACTTACCCACTGTGTAAGGGAAACACTGAAGAGTAAAATAGTCATCTAGTCTTAGAGAAATAGTTGAAAGGGCTTGAACAAGTTATAAATTTGACAGTCAGTGCAAAAATTGTGTGAACTATACACATGTAATAAGATTAACACTTGCAAATGAACAGCTTATTTTTAGAATTATTATGTATAGTGACTGTTACATAGTAGGTGCTCAATGAATAGTCCCTGGGTGAGTAAATAAATCAAAGAATTAGTCAAGAAATGTTACCAAACTCAGATCCAGTTGCTTGCCACTTGAAAAGTCAATAACCAAGAGAGCGGCAGGTGTTGGTGGAAAGCAAGGTTGATTTTAATCAGAATGTCAGCAGTCTGGGGAAATGGTGGATTTAATGTCCCCAGAAACCTTCTCTGAAGATTCTGCTTGGCCATGAATGTTTTCAAAGGGAAAAGGGGAAGTGATCTCAGTTAATCATTGAGATGAGGGTTGGAGTTTCACCACCCACCCTGTGTACAAACTTGTTTCATTTCTTGTGATCTCTTCTTAGATGCTATCTTGTTTATACAGTTTGTTCACACAGTTTTTTCTTGAGATTACTGAAGGGGAAGCTAGGGAATTAATTAATAATAATTAGTTGACCAGATCTCTTCTGGTCATATGTTAATTAATCCTTCTTCATTTCTATTTATTTGGTCTATAGAAAGAACAAATAGGTTAGGTCAGATATTGAAAAGTATATTTGAGCTGGAGATGAGCAGAGCACAGGGGTGCCTGATTTAAGGTCAGTTACAGTATTGCTTTGATAAAGTGACAAGACAGAAGGGATTTCCTGATGAGAGTGGTTTCCTGCAAGGAGATGCTTACATAAATATTAGTTAATTACTACAGATGAAATGTCATTTGTATAGTTATAGTAATAATATTATTGTTTCAAAGAGATTAAATTCAAGTTAAATATTTCACAGAGGAGTATTTTTAATATGGTTTTAATGTAAAAGGAAATAGTTGGACAGCTATAATATACATTGTTTTATGAATAAGTGAGTGACAGAATTTATCAGTTAACTTATTGATGGGTGGTAAGGCAAAGGAGATTTTAGAATATCTCTGAAATCTATGACTAAAGTGCTAATAGATGGTAATGCTAACAGAGTGACCCAGAGGGGTTATTGGAGACCTTAAGTCATGTTAGCTTCTCCCTGGAACATGAAGCAGAAGGGAACAAACCTTTCCAGATAATATATAATATGTGTTAATTATCTATTATATGCAAAGTGCAAAGGAGATGGATACAAAGTAAAAGACAAAGCATTGCTTTGTTTAATCTACTTATAGTTTATTGTGCTCAGTTGCTCAGTCTTGTCAGATTCTCAGCCACCTCCTGAACTGTAGCCAGCCAGGCTCTTCTATCTGTGGCATTATCCTGACAAGAATCCCGGAGTGGGTTGTCATTTCCTGCTCCAGGGGAATCTTCCCAACCCAGGGACTGAACCTGTGTCTCCTGCGGCTCCTGCATTGGCAGGCAGATTCTTTACCACTGAGCCACTTGGGAAGTCCTATAGTTTATTAAAAGAGATAATTCTTTACATATAAAAATGATAACTAATTCTAATCATTCTAGCCAATCAGTTAGCAAAATATAAGGCAAGGAATATTTGCTTGCAAATAATACTTGTAAAATAGTCATACCACAGAAATTCAGGTTAGATATTCAGAATTAGAATTCAGAAGTAGATATTAACCTTTTTTAGAGATAAGGTTGGGGCATGCTTTGTGAAAGAAAGATATTATAAGCTAGGCTATGTTGGACCTGAATAGCCAGAGAGGAGGGGAGTAGAACAGCTAAGTAAGGGATATGAATCTGTGTAAAATATTCAACGTATGTTTGATTTGAAAGTTACATTGAGTCTTAAACATCAGATCAAGAACAACAGCATAAGGGAAAAGTAGGAACTGAACCTTCCTTTAAGGCAGGGGTGCTTCTAGTGGGGATTGTGAGGACGTTTTGCAAGAATGGGAGTTTCTAAGACTGGAGAAGCCAGGATCAGATGGAAGGAGAACAGAGATTCATAGACTAAAGAACTGAGCCTGGCTCAGGAATTTGAAGATGGTCAATTGTGCACTAGGTCTAAGGGACTACACAAAGCTGGGGAAGCAGATTGCAGTGAGGATTGACAATGAGGAGGGAAAGAGAAAAAAGCAAGGTTAAGAATGCATATAATGGGATTGTTTAGAAGTTAATGCCATGAATGGAGTTCACAAGTGTACCAGAATACACTGCTGGAATGCAAGCACTTCTTTGTTGACTGAAAAAACTGTGCAGCCTAAAAGTTGAGAATGTTTTATTTGGCAAACTTTTTGAGGAATTAAGCAGAGGAGGCAGTCTCTCAGGTAGCTCTGAGGAACTGCTTTGAAGGGGTAAGGGAGGAGCCAGAATATATAGGGGATCTTGCAATGAGAACCAGGTAGTTGGAACATCAAAAGATTATTATTATTTAAAGACATCTCAGGTCAATGAATTTAGTGCTTCTCTACGTATGGGAAGATGCAAGAGTCTGGGTCCATTGAAATCATTCCTTTGATATGCACCTTAACTATCTAGGGCTAGTATCCTGCTTGTTTTCATCCTGAATCCCATCAGGGTGCACAGTTGAGGGTGGCTGCAGCAGCTACTGACTTGATGGCCGCAATATCCTGTTTCTTAATATAGCAGGTGACGTTCCAGTCACACCTTTAAAGGGACTGAAATGTTTAAAAGTAGAAGGGAAAGATGGAGAAGGAAGTGGAAACCCACTCCAGTGTTCTTGCCTGGAGAATCTCAGGGACGGGGGAGTCTGGTGGGCTGCCGTCTATGGGGTCGCACAGAGTTGGACATGACTGAAGCAACTTAGCAGCAGCAGCAGCAGAAGGGAAAGAACATACATGAATCATTTTATCTAAAACTTCACTTTCAAATGACAAACTAAATCCTAGATTGCGCCATGTGCAAGACCACAGAACTAGCTAAAGAATGTTGGGACTTTTGATTATGTTTCCTGTATAAGAATGATTGTGCTTTATTGGACACTGTTTTGAGTGCTTAATAAAATTGTAAAATTTTGTGACTCACCCCTTTTTGGGGAGGGTGAAGTGAGTGGCGCTAGTAATTTACGTTTTTAACAAGCCAGGTGATTTTTGTGCAGAGTAAACTTTTAGAACTATTCATAAAGAAAAACTATTGAAATTTTCTGAAATTAATGTGATAGTGATTTACAAGTGATTTACAAAATTTACAAGAATAATTGAAACCAAGGAGATATAGAATTATAAAAATCAGTTACTATAGTATTGAAATAATGCAGGTGAATAAGGACTTCAGTAGGCAGTGAGGTCAGAAAGGAAGGAAGATTTTTGAGACATTATACTGGAAACTTGGGCAGACTCTGGAAGATGGTGAGGGACAGAGAGGCCTAGCCTACTGCAGTCCATGGGGTTAGAAAGAGTGGAACACGACTTGGTGACTGAACAACAACAATAAAACTGGAAAAATCAGGACCTGGTAACCATATGTGAGACCAGGAGAGGAAGAGCACAGAGTTAATCCAAAATTCTAATGCCAGAGCATTCCATTTTTTGTTTTTGTAAGCATATATAAGGTATTATAACTAGAGATAAACATGTGTATATATTTGTTGATGAAAATGTATTTTGGAAAGAGAATTAACATAATGTGGGAAAAACAAAATACTGAAAAGAGGAAGAATGATGGAATATACATAAATAGGTGAAAATTATGTGTATGTATTACTAGAGGAGTTCAGCAGCACAGTTGATGGAAATTTCTCCATGCAGGATTCTGAATAAATTCAGAATGGAATTTACTTTATTTAAATTATTTAATTTTAGTCTCTCTATCCTACATCTAGTGTTCATATTTTCAAGTTTTACAGATAATGGGAGCTCCAAAGGTAAAAGCAATTCCTAAGATTGTCAATTGCCCTGAATTCATAGATATTTCATAAATATATCAACTTCTGAATTTTCTGCTTTGGTTTAAAAGTTAACTAAAGCTAACTAGAATTTAACAATTAAAATGATGTGTTTTTCTGTCTTCTTTCAAGGTTTGCTTAGATTGAGTAATAGTGTTTAAATATGAGTAGTTATATAATGCATATATAGTATATACAAAAGAGTATAAAATATGCTATTCTTTATGCTATGAAGCAGTGACCAAAATATTTTATTTCCTTTTTTTAAAATGAATTTTGACTTTCAACACTGAACACTTATCATTTAATTAGCTGGATAAGTTTCGAACATATTCTCTACATGAATTTTGTGAAGAACAGTTGCATCAGGCTACTCAGGCATTGAAACAACTTGAAGATATCAGGGATAAAGCAATTTCAGAAATAAAACTTACAATTTTAAAGGTAACTCTTTGATTATATCCTCTGTTTGTCAGTTTTTATGTATCAACAAAAACTATTGCTTTAAATTGCATTCCTGGAAAAAGTGTTAGAAATGGACAGAGGGACAAACATAGTTAATTAGCCAACCAACTAGTACTGTGCACTTACTATATATAAGATTTTTCAAGGTGCTGTATAGAATGCAAATATATATATATGTATATATATACACACACACATATAAATGCATGTATATATATTTTATATTTATATACCTTCAATATGCTTACACTTTAATTGGAGCTGATACATAAAAAGAAACATTCTTTGTTACAAAGTTCACAGTGGGTGCAAGATAAAAACTCATATTCAAGAGAAATATAACTAGGTAAAACAAAACTTCCTGAAAGATTTAATAAAGAGGATTTGATAATATAATAATAGTGTTCTCAAAGCATTCTTACCCAGTGTGTGGTGACTCATTTCATAGGATTATTTTATATAGCTTCCCTGTATAGTAAATGACAGTGCATGAAATCATAATTCACAAAGTACAATTCAATAAGGAACTGATGCAGTATCATCTAGTTAGAGTACTTGCTACCTCTGCTGCTTTGGCTGAACCTAAGTGGACATTTGAGGCTCTGGAGGAATTGGTGGACAAGGTCTCTCTCAAAAAATTTTTAAATATCATTTCTCTGAATTGAACTTTTGATAGATACAGGGTAGCAGTAACTTAAAGGCTTTACTTATTGGCAGGAAAATGAAATGGACCTGTTTTCTGTCAGTGAAAAAAAGCTTCTCATTCCTTATCTTATTCCTTATAGTCCCCCTAACTCCCCAAGCCCAGTCATATGAAGACAGATGGGGGCAATTTGGCCAAGGGTAGCATAAATCAGAAAAGGATTAATAAAAATATTACTGAGGTGTAACTGGGATGGTAGTGAAATATTGTTGTTGTTCAGTCGCACAGTCATGTCTGAATCTTTGTGACCCAATGGACTGCAGCATGCCAGGTTTCCCTGTCCTTCACCATCTCCTGGAGTTGGCTCAAACTCATGTCCATTGACTCAGTGATGGCATCTAACCATCTCATCCTCCATCGTCCCCTTCTCTTCTTGCCTTCAATCTTTCTCAGCATTAGGGTCTTTTCTAGTGAGTCAGCTTTTCACATCAGGTGGCCAAAATATTGGAGCTTCAGGTTTAGCATTAGTCCTTCCAATGAATAATCAGGGTTGATTTCCTTTAGGATTGACTGGTTTGATCTCCTTGCAGTTCAAGGAACTCTCAAGAGTCTTCTTCAACACTGCAGTTCAAAAGCATCAATTCTTCAGTGCTCAGCTTTCTTTATGATCCAACTCTCATTTCCATGATTGGAAAAACCATAGCTTTGACTAAATAGACCTTTGTCAGTAAAGTAATGTCTCTGCTTTTTAATATGCTGTCTAGGTTGGTCATAGCTTTTCTTCCAAGGAGCAAGCGAGTCTCTGACTGGTTCCATTGTTTCCCCATCTATTTGCCATGAAGTGATGAGACTGGATACCATGATCTTCATTTTTGAATGTTGAGTTTCAAGCCAGCATTTCACTCTCCTCTTTCACTTTCATCAAGAGGCTCTTTAGTTCCTCTTCACTTTCTGCCTTAAAAGGGTGGTGTCATCTGCACATCTGAGGTTATTGACATTTCTCCCAGCAGTCTTAATTCCAGCTTATGCTTCATCCAGCCTGACATTTTGCATGATGGTACTCTGCATATAAATTAAATAAGCAGGGTGACAATATACAGCCTTGACATACTCCTTTCCCTATTTGGAACCAGTCCATTGTTCTATGTCCAGTTCTAACTTTTGTTTCTTAACCTGCATACAGGTTTCTCAGGAGACAGGTAAGGTAGTCTGGTATTCCCATCTCTTTAAGAATTTTCCAGTTAGTTGTAATCCACACAGTCAAAGGCTTTAGTGTAGTTAATGAAGCAGAAGTAGATGTTTTTCTAGAATTCTCTTGCTTGTTCTGTGATCCAGAGGATGTTGGCAATTTGATCTCTGGTTCCTCTGCCTTTTCTAAATCTAGCTTGAATATCTGGACGTTCTTGGCTCATGTACTGTTGAAGCCTACCTTGGAGAATTTTGAGCATTACTTTGCTAGTGTGTGAAATGAGTGAAATTGTGTGGTGGTTTGAGGATTGGAATGAAAACTTTTCCAGTCCTGTGGCCCCTGTTGAGTTTTCCAAATTGGCTGGCATATTGAATGCAACACTTTCACAGCATAACTTTAAAGATTTGAAGTAGCTCAGCTGGAATTCCATTACCTCCACTAGCTTTGTTCATAGTAGTGCTTCCTCAGGCTCACTTGACTTCACACTGAGAATGTCTGACTCTAGGTTCATGATTGCACCATCGTGGTTATCTGAAATATTTCTCATATTCTGTCTACTTTCTCGCATTCAGCATCACTTGGATTTGGCCATAAATATTGGTTAAGATATTTTCACTTAAATCAATTTCAGATGAGAACCTACTAGACTTACTGCCAGCTCTGTTTTAGAAATGCACCAAACTTATTTACTCCGTGGAAGTATGTAGATTTAATAAAAATGAGAACGTCATAAAACTGAGAATGTGTCCAAATAAAAAAATTGTGAACTAACATTGGGAATGAAAGTATCAGTAAAGCATATTTTTTATTTTTTTCCATTAGATATTATCTCTCAGAGGCTTAAGCCCTACTGTGACACAGCTCTGTGACCACTGAATAACTGGGTTTCTTATGGCTACATCAGTCAGAGAATTTTCCCCATTTCCCAATTTCCAGAGTGAGTGTCAGTTGTCAGTTCCCGGGAGCACTATAAAAGCTCCTCAAGTGAATCTAAAGTAGAGCTAGATTGAAAAACATTCTTCTGGGCAATGTTTGGGACAGCCTAGCTCTGGGAAAATACAGCACAAGTATAAAACTAATGAAATGGAAATGGATAGTCAGTATCAGTGATACAAACCTAGAGTCAAAATTGAGATATGTCTAACTTAAAGTATACCTTGTGATGATAGGGACTAGGTTAACCTCTCAGAAGCCAGAATTTCCATTAGCCTCACCAATACTCAATAAAAGACCAGAATTACTAGGCCTATCACTGTTTACTTTTGTACTGATATAGTTATTAAGCCATGTACAGCTAATTTGGTATCAATACTAAAAATCTTTGTTTTGAATCGTTAATATACTCAGTTTCACCATTTTACCAATAAGAAATTCAGGCATTATGCACACTGAGTTTTCAAAGCATTGAAAAGATAAACTTTTCAATAAAAACATAATCTATTAGTAAAGTTAGTATTCCATTTGTCAGATCCAGTGTGGCTGTGCCTGTAATTGGTGTAGAAATTACCCTATTTTTTTGTCCAGTTTCTTCAAGCAACGATGGCAACCATTGTATCAATAAAAAACACGTGTTTTTATGGCTGGCTTTGCTCAGTACCAAGAGGGAAGGAACTGCTTAGATTAGAAGAGCTTCTCTGACCAGGATAGGAATGGAGTGAGCAGCCAGCTCCCCAGACTTTTGGGTCACCCCACAAAGAAAAGTTATGACCAACCTACACAGCATATTAAAAAGCAGAGACATTACTTTGCCAACAAAGGTCCATCTAGTCAAAGCTATGGTTTTATCAGTAGTCATGTATGGATATGAGAGCTGGACTATAAAGAAAGCTGAGTGCCAGAGAATTGATGCTTTTGAACTGTGGTGATGGAGAAGACTCTTGAGAGTCCCTTGGACTGCAAGGACATCCAACCAGTCTATCCTAAAGGAAATCAGTCCTGAATATTCATTGGAAGGACTGATGCTGAGCTGAAGCTCCAATACTTTGGCCACCTGATGGGAAGAACTGACTCATTAGAAAAGACCCTGATGCTGGGAAAGATCGAAGGCGGGAGGAGAATGGGATGACAGAGGATGAGATGGTTAGATGGCATCACCAACTCAATGGGCATGAGTTTGAGTAGACTCCAGGAGTTGGTGATGGACAGGGAGGCCTGGCATACTGCTGTCAGTGGGATTGCAAAGAGTCGGATATGACTGAGTGATTGAACTGACTGACATAAGTTCTCATTCTGATTTCACCCAACCAAACCAGCAAAGCTGAGAAGTACAGAGATTGCAAGAAGAAGGTTATTGATGCTAACAAGTACTATTTTGGAGTCCCCACTCCAGCCTCTTAGCACCAAGGGAGTATTTGCCCGTCAGTAGGCCATCACCTGGAGAAGGCAATGGCAACCCACTCCAGTACTCTTGCCTGGAGAATCCCATGGATGGAGGAGCCTGGTAGGTTGCTGCCCATGGGGTCGCTAATAGTCGGACACGACTGAAGCGACTTAGCAGCAGCAGCAGCAGGCCATCACCAGATGAGACCACCTGCACCTATATCTGACCCAGCTGGCACTCACCAATGGTGTCAAAGAAGGGCCTAGCAGCCAAGAGGGTTGGGGTCAGCACCACCTACTAATGCACCCATATAGTCAGCCCCAGCTCAGCAGAAGAGCCCATGCAGCCCACATTGGAGCACACCTAAAGCATATAGCTTTGGTGACCACAGGGAAGTGTGCTGCTTTGCCCAACAGAACATTTCCTACATGAGCATACTTCTCCAAGATTGGGAAATGTAACCAATCTACCTAATACATAGAAATAAATATCTATAATCAGGGAAATTGAGGAAACAGAGGAATATATTCCAAAAAAAGGAACAAGACAAACCCCAGAACTGAGTGAAGTGGAGATAAATAATCTATCTGATTAAGAGTTCAAGGTAATGATCAAAAAGATACTCAAAGAATTCATAAGGATGGATGAACATACTGAGACATTTAACAGAGTTAGAAAATATAAAGAAGTGCCAAACAGAGCTGAAGAATAAAATAGCTGAAATAAAAAATATATATATTAGAATCAACAGTACATTAGATGATACAGAGAAATGGATCAGCACCTGGAAGACAAGAGTAGTGGTAGTCACCCAAACCAAACAGAAAAAAAGAATTTTACAAAATGAGGATCGTTTGAGAGACTTCTGGTCAAAATCAATCAATATTAACATTCCCATTTTTGGGGTCCCAGAAGGAGAGAGAGAGAAAGAAGCAAGAAGAGAGAAGGGGCAGAAAGCTTACTTAAAGGAAATGGCCAATAACGTCCCCAGTCTGCAGAGGTTTTTGTATATCCAAGTTCATGAAACTCATGGGTTATCAAACAAAATCAACTTATATTATTTCCAAGATTCATAATAAAGCTATCAAAACTCAAAGAATATTAGCATCAAGAGAAAAAAATTGCTTGTAACTACAAGGGAACTACCACATAAGGCTAGTAGCAGATTTCTAAGCAGAAACTTTATAGGTCTGGTGAGTGGGATGACATAGTCAAAATTCTCTGTCCTGTGCTGCTTTATATTTTCTGATTTTTTGGGCTTCAAAATCACTGCAGATAGTGATTGCAGCCATGAAATTAAAAGACACTTGTTCCTTGGAAGGAAAGTTATGACCAACTAGATAGCATATTAAAAAGCAGAGATATTACTTTGCCAACAAAGGTCTGTCTAGTCAAGGCTGTGGTTTTTCCAGTAGTCATGTATGGATGTGAGAGCTGGACTATAAAGAAAGCTGAGTGCCGAAGAATTGATGCTTTTGAACTGTGGTGATGGTGAAGACTCTTCAGAGTCCCTTGGACTTCAAGGACATCCAACCAGTCTATCCTAAAGGAAATCAGTGCTGAATATTCATTGGAAGGACTGATGTTGAAGCTGAAATTCCAATACTTTGGCCACCTCATGAGAAGAACTGACTCGTTAGAAAAGACCCTGATGCTGGGACAGATTGAAGGAGGGAGGAGAAGGGGATAACAGAGGATGAGATGGTTGGATGACATCACCAACTCAATGGACATGAGTTTGAGTAAACTCCAGGAGTTGGTGATGGACAGGGAGGCCTGGCGTGTTGCAGTCCATGGGGTCGCAAAGAGTGGGACATGACTGAATATCTAAACTGAACTGAATTAATTAAAAAAAAGGAAACTAAAATGAAACATAAAGAGAGGCAATATAAAAAGCTAATTCAATTATGTTTTTAAAAATTAGAGTACAAGTTGAAAACTTACCAAGGTAAATACCAATCTAGCAAAAATATAAAAAACATGAACGAGCAATAAAAGAACAAAAATTTCAAGTATTTTTATAATTTTGAAGGTTCACCAGTCATAAAAATAAATCTGTCTAAAAGGAACCATTTTGAATTACTTTAGATCTATTTTTAGGAGCATAATTTAGAAATGTTTGGTGGTATTAGTACTGATGCCACCCTGTATTTTTGATCAAAACATGTCATTCTTTAATAAATTACTAAGTCAATTGTCTTGAGATATAATTATCTTATTATAAAGAATAAAACTTTAACATTAGATTTGATGAATTCAGATTTTTTCTTAATTCTGTATTATTTATTAGCATGTATGTAATATGTAATTGCATGTAGGCATTTTTTTTGGTCTTATTGCTATAGCCTAGCATAGGGATGGCAGTGTTGGACTGGGTTTTAGGAAATCTTATACTCAGATTTGACTGTCTTCTACTGGTAACTCAGTGTATTTGAGGAGGATCCCTCTATCTAGAAGTGTGTTGATATTCATTAATATGTACTTCCTGTTTGAGTTCCATAGACATATCAGCTTATAGACACCAAACTTCACGGATTTCATAACATATGAGATGTTTTATTTTTCCCTGACATTTAAATGCAGCATAAGCAGAAAGTGAAGTTTTAATGAGAGTTGTTGATAATATTTAGTTCCAGTGTTGTTTAGACTAATGGAAATACTGTAAGTTAGAAATCATGCATATTAATATAGGAAATCATCACTTGTCTCTCATTTGTTTGTTGAATTGTAGGTGGCAGAAAAGAAAGATATTAAAGAATATTTTGAAGCAAACCTTTCTGAAGATATGACACATTTCAAGCTGCCTACCTATCGACGCTTATTAGAAGTAATTTTTAGATTCTTGACGCTGGTTGACTATATGTTTCAGGAACTCACCCGTCAACTAATGAACACTGCAGTCACACTACTTTCAGAATTATTTAATAGTTCTGCTAGAACGCCAGTTTCAGTGGAAAAAAAGAATGAAAATCTCATCAAGTAAATCATACTTTTTTAATTCTAAAAGAAATTTGTAATCATATTGTTGTAATATGTTGTCACTTACAATAATGTCAGCTGGAATTTGAAAATGCTCTTGCAGAAAATTGTTTGTGCTCAGTTTTTACAATTATCTGAACTTATTATCTCCTATTATTTTATTTAATATTATTTATAAAAACATGAGAAAATTTCCCAAAATTTTCCCCAAGATTCTGCATAAGTCAAGTTGCCATATAAGTTGCAGGATACTCAGTGAAATTTGAAATTCAGATAAACAGTAAGTGATAGTCACTCAGTCATGTCTGACTCTTTGCGACCCCATGTACTGTAGCCTACCAGGCTCCTCTTTCCATGGAATTCTTCAGGTAAGAACTCTGGAATAGGTTGCCATTTCCTTCTCCAGTGGATCTTCCCGACCCAGGGATTGAACATGGGTCTCTGCATTGCAGGCAGATTCTTTACCATCTGAGACACCAGGGAAGCCTACTATTAAAAGACATTTCTAAGTATAAAGACAGATAAACTTAAAAAGTATCAGTGGATACATGCTTGATTTTATCTTATAATCTATAAACAATACATTAGAATATGTAATGAATCCATATACTTTTTCCAAAGGAATACCCAAGACAGAAATAGTAGTAAAGTTACAAATGACAGTCATCAATCAGATGGAATAATTTAGATGAATTTTGTCTCTGTCGAAGAGATGGGGACTGGGCAAAGTGGCCAGGAAGGAAATACAATGTGCTTTTAACTTTTTATGAAAAATAATGTTCAGTTCCATGTTGCTGAACATAGTTCTGTTTTTGCTACATATATCTTCTACAGATTACTGTCTGAGTATAATTTTTAATAAAAGCATGTCCCAGTTATCTGTACTACAAATTATTGTTTATCTGAAATTAAAATTTTAACCAGTGTCCTGTATTTTTATTTGTGAAATCGGTTAATCTTTTGCCTAGTACACTGTATTTTCAAAATTCAAAGCCAGCTCTTAGAGATAGTTGAGAATGATTCTGGAAGGAGCCTCAATGTTCAGTTGGAATTTGAGTCAATTTCAAGTATTATCTATTGAATGCAGAATATTTGCATCTTCTATTTGAATACTACTATTTAAAAAAAAAAACATTTTTCTTATGTTTCACAACTAGATATATCTACTCTAATTTGTGAACATGGAATCTGAACTGAAATTTTGGAATACTTTATGTCCAAACTCTCTAATTTTAGCAACATCATTTTAGTCAAATAACATTACTTTGGCTATTCTGTGTCCCTTGAGTTTCCATAGTATTATAAGTTTGCAAATTTCTGCCAAAAAAAAAAGCTGGAATTTTGATAGGAATTGCATTTGATAGGTAGATAAATATGAGGAGCATTTTATCTTTAAAGTTTTCCAATCTATGTACATGAAATATCTTTCCACTTATGTGAAAGTGTTAGTTGCTCAGTTGTGTCTGACTCTTTGCAACTCCATGGACTGTAGCATGCCAGGCTCCTTTGTCCATGGGATTCTCGAGGCAAGAATACTGGAGTGGGTTGCCATTCCCTCCTTCAGGGGATCTTCCCAACCCAAGGATTGAACCTGGGTCTCTTGCACTACAGGCAGATTCTTTACTGTCTGAGCCACCAGGAAGGCCTTTCCACTTATATAGGTATTGTTTAATTTCTTTAAACAATATGAATTTTATATTTGTTTTTTAAAACTTATTCTTGAGGATTTTATCCTTTTGATTCTATTGTAAATGGAATTGTTTTTTAAATTTCATTTTTGGATTCTTTAAGACCATAGTGAGATATCACTTCACACAAATTAGGGTGGGTATTATATTTTAAAAAAAGAAAAATAGTACCTACCCTAATTTATGTGAAGTGATATCTCACTATGGTCCTGATTTGTATTTCCCTGATGATTAGTGATGCTGAGCATCTCTTCATTGGCCATCTTATGTATCTTCTATGTGGGAATGTCTAGTTATTGATATAGTCTGCATATTAATGAGGTATAAGATTTTTTAAAGACTTTATTTTTCTTATCATTTCTTAACCTAGAATACATAAGGACATCTTTGCTTTCACTGGAAAGATGACAAGTGATTATGACGAAATGGATAATTCACACTTATATGCTTATCCTGTTCTAAAGTCAGAAGTCAAAACACAAGACAATGAGGTAAAATGGTCTTTGAAAAGTATAAGCATAGATATTTAATGTAAAACGGAAAATAACTTTTGCAATTAAAACTGTGATTTATGATTGAAACTGAAACACACAGTCACACACACACACACACATCTGCTCAAACTGTAGAAAGCTATAATTACATTTGTTTCATTTGTTTGTGCATTACTGAGTGCTTATGATATACCAGGCATTGAACTAGGCACTGAAATTCAGCAGTAAAAGAAGAAATTCCCTGACCTTTTGGAACTTCTGTTCTACTGAAGGAAACAGATAATGAAGTGATGAGTGCTGTGAAAAAAAATAAAGGAAGATAAGGGAATACAGAACAAATAACTGCTTTATGTATATATACTATTTTACATGAAAGTAGTTAGGGAAGGCCACCCTGTCTAAAGTGGCAGCTACCCCCTTCTATTCCTATTACTGTATTCCTCTCTCTTTGCTTCTCTTCAGAGCACTTTTTTTGCTTGTGTTATTAACTTTAAAATGACACAAACAAAACATGAAATGGTTGACTGAGGAGGCCTTACAAATAGCTGAGAAAAGAAGAGAAGCTAAAGGCAAAGGAGAAAAGGAAAGATACACCCATCTGAATGCAGAGTTCCAAAGAATAGCAAGGAGAGAGAAAACCTTCTTCAGCGATCAGTGCAAAGAAATAGAGGAAAACAACAGAATGGGAAAGACTAGAGATCTCATCAAGAAAATTAGAGATACACAGGGAATATTTCATGCAATAACGGGCACAATAAAGGACAGAAATGGTATGGACCTAACAGAAGCAGAAGATATTAAGAAGAGGTGGCAACAGTACACAGAAGAACTATACAAAAAAAGATCTTCACGACCCAGATAAGCACAATGGTGTGATCACTCAGCTAGAGCCAGACATCCTGGAATGTGAAGTAGCTAGTGGAAGTAATGGAATTCCAGTTGAGTTATTTCAAATCCTAGAAGATGATGCTGTAAAAGTGCGGCACTCAATGTGCCAGCAAATTAGGAAAACTCAGCAGTGGCCACAGGACTCGAAAAGGTCAGTTTTCATTCCAATCCCAAAGAATGGCAATGCCAAAGAATACTCAAACTACAGCACAATTGCAGTCATCTCTCACGCTAGTGAAGTAATGCTCAAAATTCTCCAAGCCAGACTTCAACAGTACGTGAACTGTGATCTTCCAGATGTTCAAGCTGGATTTAGAAAAGGCAGAGGAACCAGAGATCAAATTGCCAACATCCGCTGGATCATCGAAAAAGCAAGAGAGTTCCAGAAAAACATTTGCTTTTGCTTTTATTGTTTTAAAGCCAAAACCTTTTACTGTGTGGACCACAAGAAACTGTGGAAAATTCTTAAAGAGATGGGAAGACAAGACCACCTTACCTGCCTCCTGAGAAATCTGCATGCAGGTCAGGAAGCAACAGTTAGAATGGGACATGGAACAACAGACTGGTTCCAAATAGGGAAAAGAGTACATCAAGGCTATACATTGTCACCCTGCTTATTTAACTTATATGCAGAGTACATCATACAAAATGCCAGGCTGGATGAAGCACAAGCTAGAATCAGGATTGCTGGGAGAAATATCAATAACTTCAGACATGCAGATGACACCACCCTTATGGCCGAAAGTGAAGAGGAACTGAAGAGCCTGTTGATGAAAGTGAAAGAGGAGAGTGAAAAAGTTGGCTTAAAACTCAGCATTCAGAGCACTAGGATCATGCTATCTCCTCCCATCACTTTATGGCAAATAGATGGAGAAACAATGGAAATAGTGAGAGACTTTCTTTTTTGGGGCTCCAAAATCACTGCAGATGGTGGCTGCAGCCGTGAAATTAAAGGATGCTTGCTCCTTGGAAGAAAAGCTATGACCAACCTAGACAGCATATTGAAAAGCAGAGACATTACTTTGGCAACAAAGGTCTGTCTGGTCAAAGCTATGGTTTTTCCAGCAGTCATGTGTGGATGTGAGAGCTTGACTATAAAGAAAGCTGAGTGCTGAAGAATTGATGCTTTTGAACTGTGGTGCTGGAGAAGACTCTTGAGAGTCCCTTGAACTGCAAGAAGATTCAACCAGTCCATCCTAAAGGAAATCAGTCCTGAATATTCATTGGAAGGACTGATGTTGAAGCTGAAAGTCCAATACTTTGGCCACCTGATGGGAAGAACTGACTCATTGGAAAAGATTCTGATGCTGGGAAAGATTTAAGGCAGGAGGAGAAGAGGATGTCAGAGGAGGAGATGGATAGATGATATCACCAACTCAATGGACATAAGTTTGAGTAACCTCTGGGAGTTGGTGAAGGACAGGAAAGCCTGATGTGCTCTAGTCCTTGGGGTCGCAAAGAGTTAGACACGATTGAGAGACTGAACTGAAGTGAACTATTTTACATGAAAATAATCAAGAAAGGCCACCCTATCTAAAGTAGCAGCTACCCTCTTCTACTCCCATTACTATATTCCTCTCTCTTTGCTTTTTTCAGAGCACTTGTTTTGCTTGTGTTTTAACTTTAAAATGACACAGACCAAATATGAAAACATTGAAAGAATCCTAAAGACTTTAATTAAGAAATTTTTTCTTGCATGAAGAATTATCACCCCTATTTATTTTCCCATTATTTTCATAGGATTAAATTTTATATGGTAAACACATGCCCTATGTGGGACTAGTAGCATTTTTTTTTTATGAGCTAGCATGGTATAATATATACTTTATGTACTCTTTTAAAGATATTTTAGGTAGATTTTTGGGCTTCCCTGGTGTCTCAGACAGTAAAGAATCTGCCTACAATGCAGGAGACCCAGTTTTGTTTCCTGGGTTAGAAAGATCCTCTGGAGAGGGGAATGACTACCCATTCCAGTATTCTTGCCTGGAGAAGTCCATGGACAGAGAGGATCCTGTCGGTCTATAGTCCACTGGGTCGCAACGAGTTGGACACAAATGAGTGACTAAGCACAGTACAGCATGCTTTAAAGTATAATTAAGTAAATACCCAACGAAATGTCACCCAGACTTAAAAAGTCTTAAATATCTCCTGTACATATATTATATATATACATATATGTACATACATATATATTCCTTCTTGATGAAACAGATTAATAACACGTTCTACTTTTGATGGACATTTTGGCTCTTTTCAGTTTTTGTTTTATACATTCTTGTATATGTCCCTTCTACTTATTTATTACTAAAGAGTGAAATCTCTGAGTATCTTTATTTTCAACTGTACTTAATAACACATAATTGCTTTCCAAAGTGCTTATACCAGTTTAAACAGTCTTTAGCAATTCCATAATCTTTTATAGCTCCATAGCCTCACCAACTTTCACCAGCACTTAATGTCTTTGCCAACTGGATAGGTTTGAAATGGCATTTTACTATGGTTTTCATTTTTATTTCCTTTTTAGTTGTTTGTGCATTTTTAAAAATTGGAGATTCATATTTAATCTTCTGTGTCTTTTGCCTATTAACATGTATATTGTTTTTTAGAAGTTACATACATATTCTATATAATTTATGTTATGTATATGTGTGTGTGTGTGTATGTGTGTATATATATATATATATATATGTAATCCTTCTACTGGAAAGCATGTTATTTTTATTCCATGTATAATGTATATTGATGATCAATAATTCATAATTTCAATATAATAGAATTTATCATTCCTTTCATTTATTTTCGTGTGTGAAATTATCTACCATCCTGGAGTCATAAAGCTCTCCTCCTGTATTTTCTTATCAAACTTTTAATATTCTCTTAGAATTTTCTAGAAATATTTTTTGGTGTATGGTGTATGGTAGTGTTAGGTAGCTAGAATAGGAAAAAAGAGTCCAAAATGGCGGTGGCTAAAAGACATAGAAGAGAGAAGCCCACGGAAATAGAACAAAGGAAGGTCCGAAGACTGGAGTGAGAGCCTCAGGTAAAACAAACAGCCCTCCTGGCTAGCCCAGTTTACAGAGGGCAGGCTCCAGGGGAGAAGAAAAAAACATAAAAAGAGGAGACAAAATTGAGCCAGGGGCTTCTCTTCAGTCTTTTGGGTTGGCCCGCCTTCAAGCCTGGAGGATGTATTTTCCTTTGCTTGCCAATAAAACTGAGCTATAATGCTGGTCTGGCCGGTGCTTCAAATTTTTGTTGCGGCCAGACAGAACCGAGGAAATTACACACTCCTCTGACAGTAGGATCTATTTTTATTTATTTCTATACAAGTAACCATTGCCTGCCCAAACACTATTTACTTATATACTTTTCCTGCTCATCTGCAATGGCAGCTTTTTATCATTTATCACGTGTTTCTATGTATGTCTTCTGTTTGCAGACTGTGTTCTACTGTCTACTGGCCTATTCCTATGCCAGTCTCATACTGGATAAGTCAGTTCCTTTTCTAAGAGTGTCTTGCTTATTCTCAGGCACTTACATTTCCATATACATTTTAGAATCAAATCTTACTTGGAGTTTGATTGAAATTGCCTAGATATATAGGCATTTGGTGGAGAGGGGAACAGGGGAGTTAATATTTTATGATATTGAGTCTTCCTACCAACATTCTGCTATATAACTCTTTTTTAATGTCTTTTATATTTTTGTTTCCTTGAAAATCTTGCACTATATATATATATATAGGTTAGATTTAACCCAAGTGCTTTATGTCCCTAACCTGTACTCTGTGGGAATTATTATTTTATTAATAGTTGCTTCTACTAGTTCGTTTATACAGACTTAGGGGTAGAAGTATTTCAAGATAAAAGCATATATACTGTTTTAATTTTTCCTTAGGAATAACATTAAATCAACACTATTGACTTTTTAAAGCTATTTGTATGCATTGCAGAATTTTTCTACAGACAAGGATATACTAACTTCTGTTCTCTTAAAGACTGCCTTTTTAATTGTGTCCTATTTTTTGCCTGTTATTGCCTATTGATAACTGAGACCTGGAATTAACTAGGCTTAATTTTATTTATGTTATTGCTCATAATATTGAATATTTT